CTCAATAAACTCGAAAGTTTCAAAACGCACCGACATAGTATTTGGATTGAAAAGAAAAATTACGTGCATTGCACTTTGAACTCGTTGAGAATATCACTTGGGAAATGTGAACTTTCTACAAGTGTTCCAATCATGAATAATAAAATCCTTAGAAATTTTACAGTTCAGATCTTTAAATTTACAATCGCCATTATAAAATTTCCAAATAATTTTGTATACAAGATTTTCTCTATCTTATTTTGAAAACTTCTCACGGACAAGACTGATTTAATTATCATATAGACTCGATTTGATTTTTATTAATTAATTCTTTAGAGATACATCTTTGAAGACAAATACAATGATATAATTTAAAAAAAATTATTTTATAATATTTGTTTTTATTTTCATATATCTTCTAATTGATAATCTTATTCTTTTATTTAAAATAGTATATATATTTTATTAAAAATTACAAAAATTAAAACAAAATATATGAATATAAAAATCAAATCAGTTTAAAAACAAAAATTTAACATGGAAGATCTAAAAGATATTTTTCAAGATTATAATAAAATAATATTTTCTAATATTGTTAACTTTAAAAACGTGGATATCTTTTCATTGAAAAAAAAAATAAAAAAAAGAAAAAAAAATAAACGAAATGTTTTTGTGATGCTATTAAAAAAAAAAAAATTTCACGGGAAATGAACAATTTTGGTCGACATGTATAAGTGTGTATACTTACATCCTGGTGATCATAGCATCGAAAAAGAGCAGGATGATGACATCACAAAAAAAGGAAACAACGTCCAGGTCATCGTTGCAAATGTACACGTGCAACGTCAACCACGTTTTACGAATTGTATTTTGTGGGTAAAGGTACAAAGCTGGTAATGTGTGGTATCTAGACTGATAATTACGGAAGGGGCTCGAGCGAACTTCCGCTCAATAAAATCTACTCGATGAACAACACTTACTTCGACTGATGCACTTATATATATATTATATTGCATTCATCTAAATAAAAGATGAAACTTTTTTTCAAAAGTATCAATCAATCATCCATTCATGATGAAAACTTTAAAATATTCAAAATTTAATTTCGTTTAACTATTTGTATCTTTTATAAATACCTAAAATTTTTATATTTTTTGATAATATTTAAAGAATAATAGAGATCGAAATTTCATAGAAATTTAAATTAAATAGAATCTGAAAATTTAAAAGTTTAGAAATTCGAAAGTTACGAATATATAAAACTTAATATACTTAAATTGATGCCATATTAATAAATGTAATAAATAAAAAAGTTAGATTAAAATCAGTTGAATTGATATAAATAGTCGATATTTCGAACATTTCTTCACGACAATAAAAATTATTATTCAACCACTTTTTCATAATGTAAAAGATTACTCGTTGTAACTAATTAAACATACTTATAATTAATATTAAAATGAAGATAAAAAAAATTATAGAAGTTCGCTCTTTCAGAACGAATATGATCTTGAAATCAGAATATCTTACACTTTTGTATATTTTCAAATTACATTTTGCAAGACAATATCCTACTATTTATAATTAAATATATAATTGATTAAGATTTGAATATTAGGAATAAAATATTTATCATTAATTTAAAAAATGAAATTAAAAAAATGAAAAAAATAGAATTATAAGTCTTTTAATACTAAAATATTAAAATAATTAAATCAATCTAGAAATTATACAATTATCAAGGAAAATTAATAATAATAATACTACATTCTCTTAATATTAAAAGTCTTATTAAAGATAAAATTTGCACTAACAAAATGAGAATTTTATAATTTATTATTTTTTTTCTTGATATCATAAATATTTTTTAATCTTATTAAAATATAGTATAATATTAAATAAATATAAAATAGATAAATATTAAATGTGTATGAATTACTAAAAATTTACATTTTAATAAAAATAAAACTTTTAAAACTAATTGATATTCGTATTCATTTTGTAATTTTCATATTGTAATTTTATATTATACAAAAATAGATAAAATTCAGAAATTAATAGAATCGCTAATTTCATATAATTTAACTATACCGGAAGTTTTATAATTTATTGATCATGTAAAACTAGCTCGGATCTTTTTTATCAATCAAACTGGTGTAACCAGATTTACCATTGAATCTTTCATTGAGTCATTTAACTTAACATTTACTTTTAAATTTCATTAGATTTAAAATTTAAATTTAAATTTATATTATATTTAAAAAATTTCTAAACAATAGAGAAATTTAATATTAAATTAAAAAAATTTAATATTTAATACTAAAAATATAATAAATATTCTAAACATTTTTATATCAATTATATATATATATATAATTTTAATTAATTTTTATTTTTAATGTTACTCTCTAGATAATAAATATTTACAATATGAAATAAATGTATATATTTTTAATATTTTCTAATATTTAATTATAAAATAAATAATAAATAATAAATAATATTAATATATGAACAAAATATTGTATGTTTTTAAATTGAATTTAAACGATTAAAAATATAATATTTTTCAATAACATCTTAAATATTTTAAATCCTATAAGATTATATAAGCTTGTGATAATAATAATCCAGAATTCAAAAGCGATGATTCTTGGAAGATTCGGATAACAGTATAAAACAGAAATGTCAAAATAACTGACCTCACTGGTTGTTCACAAAACGTTTATGCAGTTAGTAAGCTGATTTATTTTCAGTATTATTGTGGTATCTTTTCTAATTAGATAATCACTATTTTCGAAACCACAAAATGATTCATAATTTTGAAATTGTTTCGAAAAAATAATCGAAATTATAGTGTTAACTGAAAAAAATTGTTTTTTTTCAGGTTAGAAAAATCTGATCACAGTACTGCTAAATAGCGACACTGATAAAAGTAATTTTTCACGCATGCGCAATTATCATGATTCAACTTCATTTATAAAGAAAATAGTTTTATATAATATTTATAAAAGTATGTTAAATATTAATACATGTTTAAAATTAAGATTAACTACTGCTATTAATATTTGTAAGGATAATTATTAAATAGTACATTAATATATAATTTAAATAATATTTCTATGATATATGAAGTAAAAAATAATATTATAATGAATTAATGTGCGAAAAATTATATTTATTATAATTTTACTAGTAATTGAGATATATGTATCTCTTTGAGTAAAATATGATAAAAAAAGAAAAAAAACACTTTTATGAAAAATATCATTTTCTACTTCGTAAATATATGTAATAAAAATTATTAATTAAAAATTAAAAATCTCATGCAAACTTTCATAAAACATTTTACTATAATGCAATATATGAAAATATGTAAGTATGAAACAAATATATGATCAATAAAATAAACTTACTTTTCTTAGCTTCTCCAATTCATTAATATCCGCAGAGGATTGAACACTCTGTAAAATAAAAAATATAGATAAGGATCAAAATTATATATAAAAATATTTTATTAGTCTATAAGTAATTATAATATAATTATTTTTGTTATTATATATATACGAGCATGTAACTAATAATCAATATAAGGGATGATTTACATAAAAAATAAAAATATTGCTGTACTAAAATAATTTATATATAAACGTATATATATTGTATCATATAAATAATTTATATTTATTATCGTAATATACTAATTTATATTTAAAAAAGTATTTACGTCTAACGAAAAATATATAAATAATTTGATTAATTTAGAAAATAATATTTACTTCTTTTGTTCTTCGAAGGTTGGTATTGTCCTTATTAAAAACATGTTTATTGTCCACAATGTTCGTTATTTTATTTTCAAAATTTACAAGGGAAAAGAAATTATTGTTTTTAGTATTTGTTTCTGTTTCTTCATCAAAAGCGTTGTCAAGAAGCTCATAATCCAATGATTTTGAGTCACGGCAATTGGTCACAAAAGAACGCGCGAAGCTACTTTTGAAGAAGTGTTCCAGCGACACTTCACTTCCAAGTGCAAACTCCACTCTTTGTGTATCGCTCATGATTCTTTAACAAATCTTGCAATCGTTCACAATTACATAAATTTAATCTTTCTAAATTGAGGTTATTCCCTTTCAAAGTATAATTCGAAGACTAAATGATTGCAAAAAAAACGATATTGTATTCACATTCCGCGAACACTATTAACCAATGATTATAATAAGAAATGATTCTATAATCTTTATTATTTTCACGATTTTCATTTGTTTTCCAAAGCCACGTCGTTTTATATACAAACATTAATAATTTATTTCGCGATGCACATGGAATTAGAAATTGTATAATTATTAAGAAATTCGTTACACACAACACTCTTGAAACGAATAGTACGCTTGTGCGTGTCAAACTGACAACGAAATCATTCCGTTCTATGAATCAAAGTCTGAATCTGAACGCTGTATAGTGAACACTAAGAATGAAAACACCTATAAGAAATCATATATTGCACATGCGCTCTACAGAATACAATTTGTTTGATTATATTAAAATTTTCTAATTTTATACAGATATATTGTTGGTAAGATATTTTCTATATATTTTATATATACTTATATATTTATATTATAAATAATATTAATATTTATCTTAAAATGTATTCATAAATGATATTTTATTTATAAAAAATTATGAAATCTATTTCAAAGTAATATTATAAATATAGCATTACATTAACATTAAATAAATTTATTAAAATATAAAAAATATTAATACAATATTAATACAAACTTTAAAATATTTTTGTTTTTTAAGATATTTTTTTTAATTATTTTAATTAATCATGTGTCGTTAGATGTCGCTAGTAGTCCATTGATTTTCAATGAAACTTTCCGTTCTATATTGAGTATTTAATGATTTAATAATTATTAAATTATTTAATTATAGTGATATTTTTTTAGTCGTATATAAGGTATAAAAAAATAGTAATATATTATGTTTTAAATATATACGCTATTATATTTTATTATTTCTATATAATTTTGTAAATAAATAAATAATATGCATTAAGAATTATTTAAACAAATTGTGTTTTAAATTTTAATTTCCTTTATATTAATCAATTTCGATTATTATAATTGTTAATTAAATATAATATTGTATATTAATAATTTAAATTATTAATGCGAAATTAATTTTCTGAAAGGTTATCTAATAATATAACCTCTAATGATCAGATAAAACTTTTGCATGAAGAAGATAGATTCGTATAATTGCATTAACTTAATATTATTTATGTAAAAAAAAATTATTTATTTAAAATATATTAAACATTTTAAGAAATGCCACGATTACCATTACATCCTTCATCTGGAACTGGCATTTCTAATTTATGGCCTAAAACAATACGATGTGTTCGTTACGGATGTGCCAATAGACCTTTCTTTCATATTGTTGTTATGAATGTAAGTTTTTATAAATGATTTTCAATTTCAGCTATTACTTTTCATACTACTTAATAAGACTTCATAATACTTAACTTCATACTACTTTTTTAAGAATAAAAGATTTTTTAAGAATAAAATGTTATTTTATATTTATTTTATAATTGTATAATCATATGTACAATTTCACAAAATTATTTATTTTTTATTGTCAATTATGTATATTTTTTTCAACAATTGAGTTTATATAATGTTTTTTTTTTATAATATACATAAATTTCAAATTTATCTTTTTATATTTATATGGATAAATTTATAGTAAAAAAATTTCTGACAAATTTATCAATATAAATATATAAATATTATATTAATAAATATATAAATATATTTTATTTCAGACTAAATATAGACAACATAAACCTCCAATAGAACAATTAGGCACATATGATCCCATGCCAAATAAATATAATGAAAAAATAGTTGCTTTCAATTTTGAACGTATACAATATTGGTTGGGACAAAATGTTAAAGTATCAAAACCAGTAGCAATACTTTTAGGACTTGCAGGTTTTTTTCCAATACATCCAAGAACATATATGACATCATGGAGGAAACGAAGAGCTATTGAAGAAGCTAAAGCAAATGAAACATTAGAATCAGAAACAGAAACAAAAATAGAAGCTATAGGCTAACATCTTTTAGTTATTTTATATTATATATTTAATTTGTAAACAATGTAAGCATTTAAATAAAGTTATTATACAAAATAACATATTAAAAATTGATTTAGTAATGTATTAATAAAATATTAATAAAGAATAAACTAAAATACTTATAATAAAAAAAAAATAAAAAAAATTATAACTTTTAGTTTTAATATATTTATATGATAATCCAATATAATAATAATATTATAAGAATTATCGTTTAACATAATACTTAATATAATAATTAAATATTAATATAATAATTATAAATTAATAATTAAATATGCATATATATTTTAAATATTATAGATTTTGAATATTTTAATATATAATATAATAATTAATATATAAATTAGATAATATATAATTAGATTACATTTAA